TCAAGAGCACTTGTCATGACCTTTTTTTAAAAAAAATGGTCAAGAAACTTAGAAAGAGACAGAGAGAGAGTCACGTAAAATATTGTTCAAGATTCAACAGTCATCCCATTTCATAAGTCAGAAAAGCAACTAAGCTGATTACAATTACTACAATACGCTTGTCTGTCTTGAAAATGCTTTGAAACAAAACATAATTATTTTAGTATTATCTTCTGACCATAATAATCAATCAATCAAAAGAACTCAAAAAAAAAAAAAATAGAAAACTTACAACATGGGGAGAAAAAGAAATTGAGCCAATTGGGTTGAGAGGTTACATGCTTCTCACCCCTCTGCTAAGTCCTCCCAACACTTGCCCACAACAACAACAACAGCTTCACATCTACTCATCATAATTGTGACCTTCTTTCCTTTTCTGTCCCTTTCCTCTTCATTTTCTTCTTGGGTCTTGTTAATGTATATTAAAGTATTTAAAAAAACATTATACAATTTTTTATTACATGTATTTTCATATAAAATATTTAAAATTTTTAACCTTTACATGTTCGCGATAAAAAAAAAAAAAAAACCTTTACATGTTAACAAAAACTCTTCACGTTATAAATAAATTTATTTAAGTTAAAAAATATTTTTCCACTTTTAAAAGATAAAAAATAATTTTCCAATTAAGATCTTATTAATATCATCGCCCCCAACCACCTCCATCTTGCTATTACCACCACCACTATTAATGCAATCATTGCTATTGCTACTATCACCACCACACTCCTTACCATTACTCTCATTAACCCACCACCAACACCACTTTTACCCCAACATTACCACCTCTACTATGCCATTGCTACCACTAAGTGGGTGAATATCTGGGCCTTTGAGTAATATTTGAGATGTTGGTTTGGGTGCTAATTTAAGTATCGTTTGTTTTCAGTGGTAGAATTAATGGAGGCGATTAATTGTGAAGGAATTGATAATGAAGAGATTAAGTAAAATTGAGTTTGTTTTGATGATAGTTGTTGGCGTAGGAATCGTAAAATTATTTTTCTATAAAATAATAAAACAAATAAAAAAATACAAAAACATTATAAACATTAATGTTAAAAAAAATGCCCAACATGTAAAAAATAAAAACAAAAATAAAAATAGTTCGGCAGACTGTTTTTTTAAGACCACATCCACATCCACATCCACCTCCACCTCCACCTCCACCTCCACCTCCTCCATCTCAATCCCCCTCCTAAAGCCCAACCAAATTCAGATCTCCATCTCAAGGAAATGAGATTACTGTTGTGCCTTAACAGGAGGTTTATTATGGACTTATTTTTATGATCCGAACTGTCATTTTGTAGGGTTTGTTAAGTACTTCATGCCTACAAAAAAATCATGTTAATCGGATATCAATAACTATATGATCGAATTACATTTATCATAAAAAAAATAAACAATAAGTTTTTCTTTTCAGAAATAGCATAAAAAATATTCAATTTGATCATATAGTTATTGATATCCGATTAATATAATTTTTAGTAAGAATAAAGTACTCAACAAATCTTATAAAATGAACGGTTTAGATCATAAAAATAAGTCCATAATAAACCACCAATTGATACACAACAGTTACTGTTGTTCTCCTATCTCAATCCCTTCTCCAAATTTATAAACAAACATAATATTAAATAAGTTCCACCTCTATCTTAATCCAATTTCTACCTATATACCCAAAACAAATGGGGCTTAATCAGTGCAATAATAAAAACATTGAAAAAAGGCTAATATAACCAAAAAAGAGTTTTGCGCAACAGGTGAAGGTTGAAGAGGCAGCCCCTGAGGAAATTACCAAAATACCCCAGAAACTTTAATTTTTATTTTGCAAGTGTCACATCAAGGGTAAAATGGCAAAATACTTATTCCAAACACATTTTCCTATAAAAAAAAAAGCCAAAAAAGCCTAAACATCATTCCAAACCTAACTTTTTTCCACAAATTAAAATAACCAAAACCCACTAATAGCCTATCCCACACAAAAGCTTTTACTTGGCTGATTTATTGACCATGGTGTTTGGGTGATTAGAAATATTTATCATTTGGGCCTTTTTATGAAACTTCAGAGAATTAGATGGGTTGCCAATTTGTAGGTTCAGAGAGTCAAAATATTGGGCTGTAATTTGGGGCTATCCATATCAGCCATTTAAAATAGAAAAATGTTTTGAAATTTTAATTCGTAAGTTCTAAAGCTAGCTCTAATGAGTTGATAGTAAGTCTCACACATTGTGATGTGATGTTTTAATCTTGATTTTTTTTCCCTTGTCATGTTATTAGTACTCTATTAGAGTATCAAAACTAATACTCTGAATCATTGTTGATTTAAAACATAATAGACAGATTTTATGATATACTCCAAAACATTGAAAATCATAACTTTTTTAGGCGGGATTAATACGCTTTTTGAATGAGTTTTTACTGATTTAGACCAACAACAAGTGTGTGTGTGTTTTTTTCCCACACAATTTGGAAGCACGTGAAAAAAACTAATTTCATCTATCAATTAGTCAAGGAATCCTTGTAGTGTGTGTGCCCTTCAATCGCCCATCTCAAATACTTCTTCATGATATGAATAATTTATTGTGTAAAACTCTCGTTCATAAGACTATTTTAATAATAAAGTATATTATTAGTAGTTATAAGAATGAATTATATCTGTCTTAAAAATATGAAAGAGAAATATGATTTAAGAATATTTTTTTAAAAAAAAATAATTTGATCCTGATTACTGATATTCGATTAATTAAATTCTTTATATAAATTATTTTTTAATAAACATAATAAATAAATTATTTAAAGCATTCACCTGGATTCAAAGTGAAGCACATGGAAACAAAGGATATGGTAAACAAAGTCTGGTAGGGTGATTGTGGTTGGTGGGTGGAAACTCATTTAAGAGGGAGCAAGCTGAAAACAACTACTATTATGGAGTATGTATGGATTGATAGTCAAAGTTTTTTGCAAAAAATAGTCAACATTGATCCCTACAGAAAAATAGTACCACAACTCAATGGCATAGTTAGGAATTTCGGGTTTATTTAGCAAAACATCATCATCAATGTCATTATATCATATTTTTAATTTTACACAACTAAACAATATTAACATTTATATGATACTTTATAAATTTCATACATTCTCAATTATATTGACAAAACCAATCCAAACTAGTCAAATTACAAATAAAACAAAATATTGGGATATCAAAATCGTTAGAGCGAGTTTTTTTTTGGGAGGGTCGGGGTCAATATGTAAAGTTTTCAGAATGGTTAATTTATGTGTAGAATGTGAAAAAAGGAGAGAAGAGAGATAAGAGAGAAAAAGTGATTGATTGATATAT